TACGGAGCATCACTATTTTAAGGAATCTCTGAATCAAGGAGTCTGCACAGACATTACTAGACTGTCTATTAATTAGTCTGGTGTATCTATTATATCTGTTACCTTTTATGTTATTTATAGCTAAATTGCTTAAATATTTTGTACAGATAAATTTATAAATATACTGAGCTTATCTAAGCTAGAGATTTAGGGTATTTGTATTACTATTGTACGTCAGAAGCGTCTTACCTGGGCTAAAGAAAAACAGACCTGGTCTGTTGCTCAGTGGTCCAAAGTCCTCTTTTCTGATGAGAGCAACTTTTGCATCTCATTTGGAAACCAAGGACCCAGAGTCTGGAGGAAGAATGGAGAGGCACACACTGCAAGATGCTTGAAGTCCAGTGTGACTGTTTCCACAGTCTGTGTTGATTTGGGGAGCCATGTCATCTGCTGGTGTTGGTCCACTGTGCTTCATTAAGTCCAGGGTCAACACAGCTGTCTACAAGGAGATTTTGGAGCACTTCATGCTTCCTTTCGCAGACGAGCTCTATGGGGATGCTGACTTCATTTTCCAGCAGGCCTTGGCACCTGCCCACACTGCCAAAAGCACCAAAGCCTGGTTCAATGACAGTGGGATTACTGTGATTGATTGGCCAGCAAACTCGCCTGACCTGAACCTCATAGAGAATCTATGGGGCATTGCCAAGTGAAAGATGAGCGACATGAGAGCGAACAATGCAGAAGAGCTGAAGGCGCTATTGAAGCATCCTGGTCTTCCACAACACCTCAGCATTGCCACAGGCTGATAGCTTCCATGCCATGCCGCATTGAGGCAGTAATTGCTGCAAAAGGGGCCCAAACCAAGTACTGAGTCCATATGCATGCTTATACTTTTCAGAGGTCCAATATTGTTCTATGTACACTCCTTGTTTTATTGATTAAAACAAACTAGTAAATTAGGTGGACAGCGCTAAGAATTATAAGAATATCATACATACACAGGTAGCAGCAGATTTTGCAATTATGTGTCTTACTCTTAAAAAAAATAAATATATAAAAGTACAATGATAGTGCAGTATGTTATGAATAATATGGTGATAAAGATATATTCCAAAGGGGCACTCACGTATTCCAGAGCTTAAAAAGCTCTATTTTAGGAGCCTGGACAGAACAATCCCTGTCTAAGGATTTCTTTTTGCTGGTATCAGATTTCCAAGGTAGTGCGGTTCATCATTTGAAAAAAATAAGGATGTATACCAATGGTACAGTACGTATGTAAAAGTAGGATAAGTAAATAATATTTGACCTACTTACATTTGCTAGAGCAATGACCTGCTCTAGTGTATGGAGCTTTAGGTGGAACAATCCCCACCTAGGGATATATGTAGATCCGGAACAGCCCAGTGATGGCGAGAGTATAAGGAGCTCAAGAGTGACTGGGTATTAAAACAGAATCTGATACCAGCAAAAAGAAATCCTTAGACGGGACTTGTTCCGTCCAGGCTCCTAAAATAGAGCTTTTTAAGCTCTGGAAAACGTGAATGCCCCTTTGGAATATATCTTTATCACCATATTATTCATAACATACTGCACTATCATTGTACTTTTATTTCTTTTTTTTAAGAGTAAGACACATAATTGCGAAATCTGCTGCTTCCTGTGTATGTTTGATTTTATTATAATAATTCTTAGCGCTGTCTACCTAATTTACTAAACAAAGAAATAAGTGCGCTAAATATTTATAAAGTGCAAATTTAACTTACTGTATCAATAAAAGGGAGGTAGTGCAGACAATTTATACCACTTTCTCATAAAGTGCAAAATGCAAGTGCTACATCCAAACACTTATACCACTCTTTATAAGTGCAATATGAAAAAATCCTTAATGCCAAAATTGTAAAGTGACCTAGTGCATTAAAAGACCAAATATGGTACACTTACTAGAATCATATGCTTGAAGTAACTCTCAGTTTCAAATAGTGTTACATAAAAAAGAAATACAATACAAAGCAAATATAGTGAAGAAAATTACAACGTGTCCTGGCACTCAATTACATCTAGGTGCCGGTATTCGAGGTTAACCCCAAAGACAACCTCCAAACAACAATCCTAAAAACTCTATAATGAATACCGCACTCTAATAGAAATAATTGATACTAGCTGTTATTGCTGTGAAAAATTCATAATATTTATTCTAAATAAAGTTATATAGAATATGATGATAGAAATGTTCATTTCATCCTAGGTACACCAATTATATAAATTGAATATATACAATATATACAGTATATACAGAATATTCCATATATTGGATAAAGTTCATTGATGTGTATACACTTGGTGACAATTCATTGAAAAAGATGTTGGAAGTACTGAAAAAAATGATGTAAAATATGAAAAAATGAAACAGATGAAAAAATGGAAATAATCAAAAATAATGAAAATAATGAAAAAAAGTCCCCAATCCAAAATAGAAAAAAGGAAAGGGGAAATAAGAATAAACTGAGGGATGAGAAAAAGAAAAAAGAAAAAAATGAAAAAAGAAGAAAAAACAATCAAAACAATCTGAGAGTCCTGGTAGTCCAATATAGTGCACTATATATATCTATATATGGATAGATCTCACCAATTGTAGAAATCTTTTTCTTGGTGTACCAAATAAAGGTTGTAATCAAATGATGATCTAAACGAAGGTGTAGGTAATAATGGTGTAACAGACGGACAGTCACTCCATCAGCTCCCAGTTGGTGTGAGGTTAGAAGCAGCTCCCAGTGGTCTGAACGGCAATGGACTTATGCAGGCATCTAAAGCAGCTCCCAGTGGTCTGAACACAGGGGCCGTTGAAGGGACAGTTAAGTCCCGAGCGCGCAGCCCGTCCCAAGACCAGATGCCTGCATAAGTCCATTGCCGTTCAGACCACTGGGAGCTGCTTTAGATGCCTGCATAAGTCCATTGCTGTTCAGACCACTGGGAGCTAGGCTCCACCTAGCATCATACAGGGAAAACCGAAAATTCCCTACCAGGCTTTTAAAAACTTCACGGACACAGAGGGTAATATTGATGGACTTCGAAAGACTGTGTCAGCTGCATAAGATCAGGCCACATGATCAAGTACCCCTGCTGGCTGGTAAATTATCTGGCCGCGCAGCGGAAGCTTACAGAGCAGAGACTACCATAAAGGACAGCAGAGACTACCATAAAGTAAAGCAAGCCATCTTAGATCGGTATGCCATCACTCCAGAGGCGTACCGACTCCAATTCCGGGACCTGAGAAAACAGGAGAAGGACTCTCATGCTGAATTTGCGCATCACCTACAAAGAGCAGCCACCGGGTGGATTGAGGCAGCACAAGCAACCACTAAGCAGGATATCATGCAGCTACTGCTATTGGAACAATTCTACCGGAGATTATCCACCGAGATGCAGAACTGGGTAAGGGACCGTAAACCCTGTACCTTACAAGATGCCGCTAAACTCGCGAACGAGCACCAGGATACTAGGCGAGAACAGCGGCCCCCACCTAAAGTATTTCCCCAGGCAAGCACATACCGGCCTGCCGCGGTGGACCCCCCACGATCAGGGGGAGCATACAATCCGTACCAACCCCGATACAATAACCGAGCACACATCCGATGCCATACCTGCAACCAACTTGGACATGTACAAAGAGATTGTCCCTGAAACCAGGCACGACCACCAGGGCCCAACCAAGGACCACCACTGGGGCCTAGAGCAGCAGTACATTGTTATCAGACCGGAGCGTTTGCACAGCCATCCACCACCGCCCAGATGGAGGAACCACTAGGCACGCTCCACGAAGTTAACCCAGTGCAAGCGCCAAAGCCATAGGCAAGTGGTCCATATAGAAGCGTATGGAAGGACTGAGGGATTCCGGGGCCACCATCACGTTGGTCCGAAACCATCTGGTTTCAAAAGAACAACTCACGGGGAATTGCAATAGCGGTACGGGTGGCAGGGGGAGCCATTTACAAAGTTCCCACTGCCAAAATACATTTGAATTGGGGAGCAGGGGCAGGGCAAGTGGAGGTGGGGATGATGCAAGACTTGCCAGCGGATGTTATTTTGGGAAATGACTTGGGGGAGCTCACCTCCGCTTTTATTCCACGACCTACCACGCAGGAGGCTTATCCAGTCGTCACTCGACAACAGGCTCGCACCACGGCACCACCCACCGACTCTGAGGCTCAGATAAGCAATGCCAACCCCAATCCCACTATCCTACCCTGCGATGCCCCTTAAGAATTTGGTAGCGAGGTCGCTCTAGATCCTTCCCTGCAGGTTTATAAAGACCGAATAGACAAGAACCAGGCAGACATAGAAGGAGAAAAGTATGCTTGGGATAAAAAGCTATTATACCAATATGCGGAGAATATAGTGGCCGGATCGGTTCCCAATCCCATTAAACAGTTAATTGTGCCTCGGAAATACAGGCAAAAGTTAATGCGCATAGCGCACGACATACCATTGTCAGGGCATTTAGGAATCAGCCGAACCAAACATCGGCTGACGCAAAATTTCTTCTGGCCAGGTATCTCCCAAGATATTAGACAATATTGCAATACCTGTGATACTTGCCAGAGGGTTGGAAAAAGGGGAGACAGATATAAAGCTAAACTGCACTCCCTACCCATAATAGAAGAACCCTTCAGTAGAGTAGCAGTGGGCATAATAGGACCACTGAAAGCCAGTCACTCCGGCAAGAAGTACATCTTGACCGTAGTAGATTACGCCACCAGATATCCCGAAGCAGTGGCTCTAACTAATGTACATGCTGAGACCGTGGTGGATGCCCTTATGCGAATATTCTCCAGCATGGGATTGCCCCGGGAGATTATTTCGGATAGAGGTACCCAATTCACGGCAGAGGTCACTCACAAACTCTGGAAAGTATGTGGGGTAAAATCTATCCTTAATTCTCCCTACCATCCCCAGTCTAATGGTCTTTGTGAACGGTTTAATGGAACGCTGAAACAAATGATCCGGACGTTCATAGACACACAAAAAGACTGGGAACGATTCCTACCCCACTTACTGTTCGCCTATAGAGAAGTGCCCCAAGAATCCACTGGGTTCTCTCCCTTTGAATTATTATTTGGAAGGAGAGTGAGGGGCCCCCTAGATTTAATCAGAGAACACTGGGAGGGGGGAGTAACCACTAATGGTACCCCTATCGTACCATATGTGCTGGAATTTCGGGACCGTTTGGAGGCGCTGACCCAGACTGTACGTACCAACCTCCAAGCGGCCCAACAAAGACAGCGTAGATGGTATGATAGGGGGGCCAGGGACCGCAGCTTTCAGGTCGGGCAGAAGGTGCTGATCCTACGACCCGTACCTACGGACAAGCTGCAGGCCTCCTGGCAGGGCCCATTCAAGGTGGTAGAGCAAATCTGCGATACCACCTATATAATTGGCCCATGCGCTGGGGCAGGGGGAAGACGCATGCTTCATGTAAACATGCTGAAACCATACAACGAGCGCACAGAAAAGGTGACCGCAAAATGTGCCTCTGCCGCAGAGGACACATAATTTGCCATTACCAGATCTTCTCGCCAGAGAAACACAGAAGGAAGAGTTAGCCGCAGTACAGTTAGGGGAGCACTTAACTTTGCAGGAAAAAACCGAGGCCCAGAGTTTATTTAGGTAGAAGGGAGCCACCTTCTCCAACCTTCCCGGGTATACCCCATTAGCCACCCACAGGGTGGAGACCCCAGGCCAAACACCCCTCCGTCAACCTCCTTACCGCATTCCAGAAGCAGTAAAAGAGCATATGCGTAAGGAGATTGAAGAAATGTTACAATTAGGGGTTATTGAGCATTCAGATAGCCCTTGGGCGTCTCCAGTGGTACTAGTGCCAAAGCGGGATGGGACAACCCGCTTCTGCGTAGATTATAGAAGGCTCAACGATAAAACGGTATCAGATGCCTACCCCATGCCGCGCATAGACGAGTTGTTAGACAAGATGGCCCGAGGTCATTATCGAACTACGATCGACCTGTGCAAAGGATACTGGCAAATTCCTTTAGCAGAGGACGCCATTCCGAAGTCAGCGTTTGTCACTCCGTTTGGCCTATACCATTTTAGAGTTATGCCATTCGGAATGAAAAACGCCCCAGCCACCTTCCAGAGGATGGTAGACCGACTATTAGACGGGTTTCAGGAATACGCGTGCGCCTATCTGGACGACATAGCGATTTTCAGCTATTCCTGGACCGACCACCTGAGCCACGTAGGAGCAGTCTTAGACTGTATTAGGGAGGTAGGACTAACCCTTAAACCCAGTAAGTGCTATATAGGGATGGCCGAAGTCCAATATTTAGGACACTGGGTAGGAAGTGGCCAACAGAAACCAGAACCGGCCAAAATAGAGGCGGTAGTCAAATGGCCAACCCCCCGCACCAAAACCCAGGTTTTAGCATTCTTAGGTACCGCAGGGTATTATAGGAAATTTGTGCCCGATTACAGTACCCTGGCAAAGCCCCTCACAGATTTGACCCTCAAGAATCTCCCCAAGTTAGTAGTATGGGTGTGAAATGGCATTCCAGCAACTTAAAACTGCTCTTGTTAACGCACCTATACTCGCTGCTCCTGATCCAACTAAACGCTTTCTCGTCCATACAGATGCTTCTATGTTTGGATTGGGAGCAGTAGTGAGCCAAGTCGGAGCAGATGGCGGCGAGCATCCCGTAGCTTACTTAAGCAGAAAACTTTTACCCCGAGAAGTAAGCTACGCCGCCATTGAAAAAGAATGCCTTGCCGTGGTGTGGGCCCTCAAGAAACTACAACCATATTTATACGGACAACCATTTGCATTACTCACAGATCACAACCCGTTGGTCTGGCTGAACCGGGTGTCAGGGGACAATGCCAGGCTGTTGTGCTGGAGTTTGGCGCTGCAGCCTTTTGACTTTACGATCCAGTACCGCCTGGGAAAGCTAAATGGCAACGCCGACGGGTTATCCAGACAAACTGAACTTGAGAAGTGATCTGTGAGTACTCCTCCGGACATCCCCAAGCCGATCCGTTGGGATCAGACTGTATATGCCGGCTTGGTTCTGGGGGAGCATTGTGGCAAAACTAGCCACCAGAGACTATCAATGTATAAGGATGTGTGTATTGTTGCTAAGCCATAAAAATCAATGCTATTTGTATTTCAGGCGAATGAGGGCATTCGTATGCTGGCGGTATGAAAACCCCAGCATTCATAATGAAGTTTCACGAACAGTGAGTTAAACACTGTTCGTGAAACGAATAACATACCGAATGCATGACAACACACAGGGGGTCGTGTAGCACCCATTAACCGATTGCAACAATGTTGCAGTCGGTAATTAAGAGTGTTACTAGGTGGCCGTTGTTCGAATACCGACCACGCGGCGATCGGCCATCTTGTTTCTTTTGTTAGCCCAGCGGTGTTTTGTCGTCGAGCGCCTGGAACTAAAAACTATGCTACCTGGATTTTACCTGCTTTGTGCCTGCTTGATTCTGTCTATAAGCGGAGATACCGTGGATAATACTACTACTCCGCTACAGTCGGCTTCTTCAGATCTGACTCACTCCTGTCATAGCAGTCTTTTTATACCGCCCATCAGGGCGTGATTTATTACACAGTCCTTTCTTTATTGGCTCTTAGAACATATAATAAACATAAAATAAACATAAAAACGGATGATATTTTCGGCATTGCTAATATTCATATGGTTTAATTAATTAACTTCTATAGGCTGCCCTATATGCCCATATATTATATTGCTATACCAACACCTACGATTCTTAAAATTAAAACTAAGTCCTGTCATAATATAGCACTTTATATTTAAATATGACAATGGACATTAAACAACCACACTAACTTACATTCAATATATATACACAGAGATATACCTGAAAATTATTCATACAAAATAAGGATACAGAGATAAACAAATTTATGTTTTTTTTTATGTTTATTATATGTTCTAAGAGCCAATAAAGAAAGGACTGTGTAATAAATCACGCCCTGATGGGCGGTATAAAAAGACTGCTATGACAGGAGTGAGTCAGATCCGAAGAAGCTGACCTCTCAGCGAAACGCGTTATCTGATTGGCTACATGACGGCATCACGCATGCCACGCCTCACGGAGACACAAAATGTCTCTCCTGCATGCAGAATTAGCGATATGCAAATCTACCCGAATATACAAATTACCAGTCTTGCTATTCAGGTAGTGCATATTACTGTTGATACCAACAGAGGGCACTACACAAGCTCCATAGTCAAACCACCCAGTTGGTAGCAATCCTCAGCAGTACAAGAGAGCAGGCAATACATTCCAGGGGCCATAGTCACATTGCAGGAGGCTGGCAATCAGTCTTCTTCAGGCACAAGTGGCGATGTTAAATTCGCCACAAAACCGTTTTAATTTATTGGCTGCAGTGGATCTTTCTGCATTTGGAACTGTCAAAAGTAGAGCAGGCTTATCTGCTCTCTGCTTGTGAGTGAAACTTTTACATACACTCTGTATCATTTTTAAAAAGTAATATTTCACTATTTATGCTTTGTATTGTATTTCTTTTTTATGTAATACTATTTGAAACTGAGAGTTACTTCAAGCATATGATTCTAGTAAGTGTACCATATTTGGTCTTTTAATGCACTAGGTCACTTTACAATTTTGGCAGTAAGGATTTTTTCATATTGCACCTATAAAGAGTGGTATAAGTGTTTGGATGTAGCACTTGCATTTTGCACTTTATGAGAAAGTGGTATAAATTGTCTGCACTACCTCACTTTATTGATACAGTGAGTTAAATTTGCACTTTAGAAATATTTAGCGCACTTATTTCTTTGTTTAGATTTTATTGTTGGGTGTTATGAGCTGATACACTTATAGGTGCTGATTCATGCAATAAGGTTATAATCACTATTATAAGCGCCTTTTTTTCATTTGTTTATTGTTGTTCCACCTAATTTACTAGCTTGTTTTGTTCTATTGTTCACAAGGTAAAAGGAACTCCTTGTTGGTGAATAGCTGCTTTATTGGATAGAGAGCACATCACTTTTTTCACTATTTGTTTTATTGATTGCATGGAAAATTCTAATTTACTGAGATTGTAGATTTGGGGTTTTCATGAGCTGTAAGCCATAATCATCACACTTATGACAAATCACGGCTTGAACTATCTTGCTTTGCATGTAATGCAACTATCTCATAAAAGTTTTCCCTTTTTCGTTGCATTACTGAAATAAATGAACTTTTGCACGATATTCTAATTTTTCGAGTATCACATGTATGTATGTATACGTCATCACGCACGCCACGCCTCCCGGAGGCTGTAAGTGTGCAGTGTGAGGGTGCTGTTAGTGTGATGTGTGTTATGTGGGTGAGGGTGTTTGTGTGTGTGAGGGTGCTGGTAGTGTGCTGTGTGAGGGTGTTTGTTAGGGTCCTGTTAGTGTGCTGTGTGAGGGTGTCATGTGTTTGTGAGGTTGCTGTTTGTGTGCTCTGTGTGTGTGTGTGCTGTATGTTTAGGTGATTGTGGGGGTGGAGGTGGGGTAGATTAGTAAATATCCCCCCTCCCTTATGTAGGGAGGGGGGACCATGCTGCTGCCATCCCTGGTGGTCCAGTGGAGAGTGAACTCTAGCCTGCGGGACTAGAGTTCACTCTTGCGAGATCTGAGCATTGCCGCGGCAACGCTCAGATCTCGCGAGAGGAACCCGGCTGAGCTGCTGGCTAGAGCTCCCCGGGTTCTCTCCTGCCTCCCTCCATGTTGCTGTGGGATCTCCCCACCGACCCATGGAGTCTGCATGAGCCGACAAGGGAGTTCCTGAGATCTCCCCTGCCGGTTTCAATCCATAGTGCATGCTGCGGGGATTAGGGTGTGCCCAGGCTGCTTCCCACAGGGCACTGCCATAGGCGTGCGCACAGGGTGCTTTGCGCACACCTATGGCAGTGTCCCTGTGGGAAGCAGTATGTGAGTCGAACCTATAGGAAACTAAAAGAACGTATCCTAGAACTACTAAATAATATTAGAACGAAACCGAACAAACATATAGTCCCCATTCACTGCAATACATGTACTAAATTTAGTTGGAAAGATTTTTACTTTTTAAGTCTGGAAAAAATAGAGAATTATTGGAGAGCAGGGGCGGACTGACCACTCGGGCACTTCGGTCGTGGACCGAGGGCCCGAGGCAGTCAGGGGCCCGGCAGCACAGCCATGCTCCAGCTGGAGAGATCAGAGATCTCTCCAACTGGACCGGCAAAAAAAAATAAAATAAAACTATTTAATCAATGGGTTGTGGGGCCCCTGATGCAGCGTGGGGCCCCCACCCCCTCCCCCTCCCAAATGAGACCTGGCAGCTTCACCTGCTCTCTGCCAGGTCTCCTGCTTCCTCTCCCATGCGGCTCTGTGTGATGGGAGAGGCGGGGCCAGGAAGTGACATCACTTCCTGTTTACGCCTCTCACACAGAGCCCAGGAGGGGAAGGAGCAGCAGCCTGGCAGAGAAGAGGAAACAGAGAGACAGGTAGGCACCAATCACCCCCTCCCCCCCCCTTGTCACCAGTCACCACCCCCTCACTGTCACCAGTCACCCCCCTCACTGTCACTAGTCTCACCCCCCCTCACTGTCACTAGTCACCCCCCTCACTATCACTAGTCACCCCCCCACTGTGTCACTAGTCACCCCCTCTTTGTCACTAGTCACCCCCTCACTGTCACTAGTCACCCCACCCACTGTCACTAGTCACCCACCCACTGTCACCAGTCACCCCCCCTCACTGTCACTAGTCACCCCCCCCTCACTGTCACTAGTCCCGCCCCCACCACTGTCACTAGTCACTTACTGTCACTTTAGTCTCCACCCCCACTGTCACTAGTCTCACCCACCTGTCACTAGTCACCCACCCGCATCGCAGTCACCCCTCACTGTCACTAGTCACCCCCCCCCACTCTCCACTAGTCTCACCCCCTCCACTTGTCACTAGTCACCCCCCTCACTGTCACTGCTAGTCACCCCATCACTAGTCTCCCCCCTCACTGTCACTGGTCACCCCCCCTCACTGTCACTAGTCACCCCTCCTGTTACTAGTCACCCCCCCTCACTGTCACTAGTCTCACCCCCCTGTCACCAGTCACCCCTTCACTGTCACCAGTCACCTTCACTGTCACCAGTCACCCCCCCACTGTCACTAGTCACCACCCTCACTGTCACTAGTCACCCCCCTCACTGTCACTAGTCACCCCCTCACTGTCACTAGTCACCCCCCCACTGTCACTAGTCACCCCCTCACTGTCACTAGTCACCCTCTCCCTCACTCTGTCACTACTCACACCCTCCCTCACTCTGTCACTAGTCTCACCCCCCCACTGTCACTAGTCACTTACCACTGTCACCAGTCACCCCTCACTGTCACCAGTCACACCCCCCTCACTGTCACCAGTCCCCCTCACTGTCACTGGTCACCCCCCCCTCCCTGTCATGAGTCACCCCCTGCTGTCTCTTGAGTCCACTATGCAGTCACCCCGTCACCAGTCACCCCCACTGTCACCCAGTCACTTGCCCCCTCACTGTCACTAGTCACCCCCCCTCACTGTCACTAGTCACCCTCCCTCACTGTGTCACTAGTCACCTCTTACCTCACTCACTTTCACCCCTTCCCTCACTCACTTTGTCACTAGTCACCCCTTCCCTCCCTCACTTTGTCACTAGTCACACCCCCCTCACTGTCACCAGTCTGCCCCCCCTCCCTCTGTCACTGGTCATCCCTCCCACTCTCTGTCACTAGTCACCTCACTCTGGTGACAGAGTGAGAGAGAGGAATAGATGAGTGTTAGTGAGGGAGGGGTGACAAGTGAGGAAGAAAATGACTCAATGACAGAAGAATGTCTGATGGGGGAGAATTTGACTTCGAAACTGAGGGATGACAATGACAGAGAGATGGGAGGGAGTGACAGTGACAGTCTCCTCCTCTGTGCTAGTCACCATCTCCCCTCCCTCCCTCACTAGTCACCCCCCTCACTCTGTCACTGGTCACCCATTCCCTCCCTCACTCTGTCACTAATCATCCCCTCACTCTGTCACTAGTCACCCTCTCCCTCACTCTGTCACTACTCACACCCTCCCTCACTCTGTCACTACTCACACCCTCCCTCACTCTGTCACTGGAGTGAGGGGATGACTGGTGACAGAGTGAGGGAAGGGGTGACTAGTGGCAGAGTGAGGGAAGGAAGGGGTGACTGGTGACAGAGTGAGCAGATGACTGGTGACAGTGAGAGAGGGGGATGACTAGTGACAAATTGAGTTAGGGGGTGACTAGTGACAGAGTAAGGGACAAAGGGGGTGACTAGTGACAGAAGGAGGGATTGAGTAGTGACAGAGGGAGGTGGTGACTAGTGACAGAGTGAGGGAGGTGGTGACTAGTGACAGTCACCACCTCCCTCACTCTGTCACTAGTCACCCCTTCCCTCACTCTGTCACTAGTCACCCCCTCACTCTAGTGACAGAGTGAGGGAGTGACAGAGTGAGAGAGGGGGTGACTAGTGACAGAGTGAGGGAGGGGGTGACTGTCACTAGTCACCCCATCCCTCTCTCTGTCACTAGTCACTCCCTCCTAACTCTGTCACTGTGTCACCTGCTCCCTCACTCTGTCACTAATCACCCCCTCTGTCCTTAGTGACAGATGACAGAGTGAGAGAGGGGGTGACTAGTGACAGAGTGAGAGAGGGGGTGACTAGTGACAGAGTTAGGGAGAGAGTGACTAGTGACAGAGAGAGGGATGGGGTGACTAGTGACAGTCACCCCCTCTCTCACTCTGTCACTAGTCACCCCCTTTCTCACTCTGTCACCAGTCATCCCTTCCTTCCCTCACTCTGCCACTAGTCATCCCTTCCCTCACTCTGTCACCAGTCACAGTGACAGTTAGGGAGGGAGTGACTAGTGACAGAGAGAGGGATGGGGTGACTAGTGACAGAGAGAGGGAGGGGGTGACACAGTGACAGAGTAAGGGGGTGACTAGTGACAGAGTGAGGGAGCGGGTGACACAGTGACAGAGTTAGGGAGGGAGTGACTAGTGACAGAGAGAGGGATGGGGTGACTAGTGACAGTCACCCCCCCCCCTCACTCTGTCACCAGTCATCCCCTCACTCTGTCACTAGTCACCCTTTCCCTCCCTCACTTTGCCACTAGTCATCTCTTCCCTCCCTCTGCCACTAGTCACCCATTCCCTCACTCTGTCACTAGTCACCCACTCCCTCACTCTGTCACCAGTCACCCCCACTCACTGTGTCTCCCCCTCACTCTGCCACCACTCAACCCCTCCCTCACTCTGCCACCACTCAACCCCTCCCTCACTCTGCCACCAGGTACCCCCTCACTCTGCCACCTGTCACCTTCTCCCTCACACACTCTGTCACCTGTCACATATGCATTCACACAGACACTATATACAAAAAAGCACATGTAGTCATCCAGACATGCACAAGTGCATTCACACAGACTCAAATACAAACATGCATTGATACACAGGTCTTCACAATACACACATCCAAGGGAATGCCGTATTATGAATTATATTTAACATTTATTTAATGCACATATATTTGGCCTTCAAAGGGCCTGGGATCTAATTTTGCCCGGGGGCCCCAAAGGCTCTCAGTCCGCCCCTGTTGGAGAGGTGGAAATATAATCAAAAAGCTAGCACAACGTGAAACGAATTGGATCAATACGTTAAAAACTTTGCAACCTAGGGGGTTAAATCTAGATATAGACCTATCGTGTTTTTTGGATTGAATAGCTATAGCTTCCCTACCTAAGCTTTCTACTTTTTACTATGGTGCATGGATTTTCTTCTTTTTTTATGTTGACTATTATATTTAGTAATGTGTATAAATGTAAGGGGTCTCTCTCCACAGCTATATGCAAATATTACATTAGATGGGAAAAATATAGAGGGAAGATTACCCTTATATAATGTAATAAGTCCTCTTCTAATTGATGGATCGGTTACATATAACCTGAGAAAACACTTTTAGAACAATTTCTCTGTATAACACTTTTCTGGCTATTAGTGTGGAATAAAGGATAAAATCAAAATAAGAGAGGTAACTAGTAACTCAAGATAAAGAAGCCATTTAATAAAATATTTTTATACAGAGAATAATTTATTTATGCAGGTATAAGATTAGGTCATTGTCCCTATTTACAATCATGGGTATTGTTCCTTTAACCCCTTAAAGACTGGACTGTTTTTGCGATGTTGTACATTTGTGACCAGGCCTCTTTTTACACTTTTGTGGTGTTTGTGTTTAGCTGTAATTTTCCGCTCTCTCATTTACTGTTCCTATACAAATGATATATTGTTTTTTCAGGACAAAAAAGGCTTTCTTTACATACCATTATTTATATAATCTCATGTAATTTCATTTTAAAAAAATAATGAAAAATTAAAAAAAAATACATGTGTTTTGACTTACTTGAAAAACTTTTACTCATCTACAAAAGCGAATAAAAAAAACAGCTAAATAGATTCAAATTTTTGTCCTGAGTTTTAAAATACCCAGCTTTTACATGCTTTTTTTTTGCAAGTTATAGGGCTATAGGTATATGTAGGATATTGCGGTTTCAAAACATACATTTTTTCAAATGTATCAATAGTGACATTGTAACACTATTATCTGTCATACATCTCTGAATAACACTCCACATGTACATATTTTTTTTAAAGTAGACAACCCAGAATTATTCAATATAGGGGTATGTGATCTTTTTTAGTAATAACAATTTAACCACAGCCCAAGTAAGCATTCATATTTGTTTTGTGTGTAGAAAAAGTAAAAAAACTAGTGAGCTTGTTTGGCCAGTGTTTGTGACTAAGTGGCTACTAAAAAAGACTGGACATACCCCATTTGCAATACCTTGGGTTGTCTTCTTTTGCAAATGGTATGCCATCATGGGGGTAATTCTCATTCCTGGGCTACCATACGCTCTCAAAGGCAATGTAACCAACCTGGCCATTTTCAATGTAAAAATATTTGACCATATATTTGACCTTGTAACTTTCAAAAATGCTATAAAACCTGTACATGGGGGGTACTGTTTTACTCAGGAGACATCGCTGAACACAAATATTAGTGTTTAAAAACTGGAAAACGTATCACAACAATTATATCATCAGTAAAAGTGCTGTTTGTGTGTGAAAAATGCAAAAAAGTAACTTTCACTGACAATATCATCGCTGTGATATGTTTTACTGTTTTGAATCCCTAATATTTGTGTTCAGCGAAGTCTCCCGAGTAAAACAGTACCCCCCATGTACAGGTTTTAGGGTGTCGTAGAACGTTACAGGGTAAAATACAGTGCTAGCAAATTAAATTCTCTGGACTTTTGGCCTGGGTTGGCAGGCAGGTCCCTCAAATTGCAATCAATAAAATTACTTAATTATGTAAAATATTACATAAATACGCACGTAGAATTTAAATATATATGCATATTTATATATTTGAAGTCTACGTGTATATTTATACAATTATTTATGTAATTTTGTATATGGACATATGTATATTTCGTATTATTTTTATTTATTTATATATACATAGATATATATACAAATTAATTCTAAGTGTATTTTGATATAAATATATATATAT